GTGTTCACCTTGTAAACTTTGATTAGAAACTTTACAAGTCCACCTTGCGATATATTAACTTTTAGATCTTATAGATGACAACCGCAGTTCCTGTATGATTTAACTATTATCGGATGAGGCTGAGCATCATCTAAAGAATTATGGAGATCGAGCAGGGTGTTATCCGCCGAGGCCGATTTAGCTTAGATCTCCATCATTCTTGAGATAATACGAAAGCCGAATCCAACGATTGTTTTAGGATTCATTCAAAATAATTCCGGGTTAAAAAACAAGCTAAATCATGCTTACCTCCATCGATGTTAAGTTCATCTTCAATTGCCTGTTTATCAGCAAGTTTAGGAGATAAACGGTTGTTCAGTACTGCAAAATAATAAGTTTTAAATTTTAGAGAATTTTAGCATTTTCAGTGTCCCCAATTTAGCAAATTATTCAAGTTTAAAACGTTGAAGAAAACTCACAAGAGAAAACCATTTCAGCAAAAAATTTCTAGGAAACTCAGTTTTACAAATAACTATTGAATGAATTATGGGTCTCCGCGCTCCACGGATGGATACTGATGTACACCTAATTTGAATAGCTTTGTCTTAAAAAAAAGTTAAAGAAAGACAGAGTCTAAAAGAAGGAAAAAAATACAAATGGGGAATTCATTACGCCTGCTTATACAGCTAAATCAAAAAAGGTTGCTTTGGTAATTCGTCATTCGGGCATACGGAATAATGCAATGATTTACTTGAGTGAACGCCAAATAATAGCTTCCCAATGCCCAAAGCAACCTTTATTGAATCAGCTATAAACCTAGACAGATGTAGGGTGCATTCATAGCAAATACACCCTAATGTATGTGGTTTAATAGTAAGTCTAATAAATTCTTATTTGGATTTTTACATTTTTCATTTTTCTTTTAACATTTTTCTATGACAACGTTATTGTAATTGACGTCAACGCGACCCCGTCAGGTAACGCGATTTTTGCATGGCAACGAGTGGTTCGTAACGGTGTAAATAAATCGATAAGAACAATCCACGACGATTTCCGCTAATTTCTCGAAACCTCGGTACAGCAGACATGAATAGGTCGTACGTAGCACTGGCATGTGTCAGATGGACAGTTAAACCGAAATCTAGCGCTGAAATGCTGGCAAAAAGAACATAGTTTTTCACTTACAATATTGTCTTGATTTGCTTGACCGCAGCTAGCGATTTACATTGTTTAGGTCGACATATCTTAAAAACCTAGTATCACTATGGGTGCCGGAGCATCGAGAAACCACCACTCTAAAGGAATACCGTCACCGCCACGCGAGAGCCTTTCGCCAGTAAAGGATACGGTTCAACCAAAGATTCCTGTCCAAGATCAACATTTCAGTCACGAAGCACAGAACAAGGACATAAAACAGCAGGTTGATGTTGCTCGAACCAGTCATACGAATACGGATAAGAAAGCTTCACCCAACGATACTCTTGAAACGTACATAGTCAAACATCCAGACCAAGCTGAGGATCTAGAAACAATGCTTGAAAGACTACAAGCTCTCAAAAACTTCGTTGCTAAAAATTTAAATGACCCTGAAGACTATGCCACGTTGGGTAAACAGACGATCGAGGGTTTATTTGAAACAAGTGTCCACACTTTCGAATCCGCTGGGACTCAAGAGGAAAAAGAGTTCATCACACTTATCGAATTCACCATTGATGTCGGTGGCGCTGAACAATTGAAACTTTTCGTACAACATTGCTTTAAGAAATTCAGCTACCTCATTAATGAAGAGTCCGACGATGAAGAAGAAACTGACGACTACACATGTTACGATTGTCTTTCAAATACTCTAGCGGCAATACAAAACTTCTCAGACTTTCACCAAGGTTTTTGCTCAGCCTGTGCGGGTGCAGGTATCATTTCAATGTGCTTTGAAATCGTCAAACAAATTGATGCTGAAAATTCCAACTGGGAAGAGGAAGATGAAGACTCGGAGCTAGTTACAATAATTGACAACTCTATTGGAATTCTACATAACATTTCACGGCGACTGAGGGACCGTGAGCTGTTTGCTAACCGTGAGCAAACGTTGCTTTACTTTGCTAAGAAAAAAGTTCCAGCAATTGCAGCTGAATCTCTGCTTACTCTAGCATATTTAGTTGATGAAAACACGAATCATCTCATTTTGGCGGACGAGAACTTGCTTAGCTTTATAATAACATTATTAGATGAGGCATGGCAGTCGGAAGATCGACATTCGAATGGATATTCTGCAAAGGAACTCGCAGAAGGCCTTGGTCACCTGGCTATCAACGACGCCAATAAAAATATTTTGGGACAAAACGGGGTCATTCCTGTTTTGATTTCAGTGATCAAAACGTCGAACGAGGATGAGGAGAAAGCCAGTGCTACAAGAGCATTGTGGATGCTAGCCTTTGATGACAATAACAAAGAAAAAGTACGTCAAGAAGAAGGGGCTATAGACATCTTACACCAGTTACAACAGAGCAAGAACTCAGAAGTGCAGAAGGCTGCTGCAGGTGCATTGTGGGAACTGGAAGGGAAGACAGCTAGGCAATCCTCAGAGAAGATAGAATCGACCGGGAATCACGTGATGATCAGCTACCAATGGGATTCCCAGGAAGTGCTCGTCGAAGTGAAAAACAGGCTTCAAGCAAGTGGATACAGAGTATGGATGGATCTGGAGCAGATGGGAGGATCGACCTTGGAGGCAATGGCTAAAGCTGTGGAGAATTCTTCTGTCGTTCTTATCTGCGTATCAGAACGATACAAGGAGAGCCCAAACTGTCGTTCAGAGGCAGAGTACGCGTACCAGTTAAGAAAAGATATCATTCCGCTGATGATGCAACGCAAATACCGAGGAGACGGTTGGCTGGGTATGCTCGTGGGAACAAAGTTGTGGTTTGACTTTCAGAGTAAACACGTATTAGAACAAGGTGTAACGAAACTAATTAGAGAGCTAGGGGGAAGAGGAAAAGAGCTGGACGTGACAGATGGACCATCCGAACCAGCAGTTCAAGTAGTTCAAGCAGATGTTCTTGTTGCACCCTCATCCCCTGGGGTGTCTACCTGGACTAACAAAGATGTGAAGCAGTGGTTCAAAGAAATCGGATTGGAAAAGGTGTGCGAAAAAGACATTTCAGAGATGAATGGACAGACGCTGATAGATCTTCAAGAGCTCCGTGGAGAATGCCCTGATTACTTCTATAAATGCATCGAGCGCACTCTCAAACTGACAGACATGTTTGACTTGCTAAAATTTAGGAAGGAGCTCAGCAAACTAGCTTAAAAATGAGCTACACTTTACCTTGTTAATCTACAGCGCAGTTCGCTCAGCAGTTCTTACAAGATACCCTCTTTTAAATTCTTTAGAAATGAAAATGACTCATCCTTGAATATCATTTCTTTATACTGCTGCACAACTTTTAAATGCACATTTGATTGAACAATGGCTTCATTCTCCTACTCCATTTGCCACACACTGAAAATCGAATAGTACCATGTGAAAGTTTGATTTGAATGATCACACCATAATAAGTAATACACACCATAGGATATCATACACAGATTCAAAGTTTTGTTTTGTACTTACATGGTACAAAACAAATAGTACCATGTGAAAGTTATGCTGAAGAGGTTCCATTTGAATGGTCACACCATAATAGGTAGTACCAATAATAATAAGCAATACCAAGAAATTTGAAGTGATGGTTATAGGCACAAACCATGCTGTAAAGACTGCTCGTGAACTACAAGTCATGCTTGATGATAAACGCTTGAAACAATACGAAACACTTCAACTATTTAGGACTGGTCGTTGACAACCGACTGAACTGAAATAATCGCATTTCTTATATATCCTCCAAGGTTTATCCCAAACTGAAGATGTCAAATAGGATTTCATACTTTTTAAGTAGAAATGTTCTGTTAAGAATTTACAGGCAAAACATTATACCTATATTTGATTATGGGTGTATAGTTTGGGGAGACTGTGGTAAACAGAAATTATGCGCCCACAGATAGCTGATCATTGCAAATCTTGTACTCAGGACATGCGTACGAAGTTGGCTCTTTCATCACTATTGAGTAGACGCTGTTTTCTAAGATTTCAGATAGTTTATAAAATTGTTCATAATGTCAACTGTCTCGACCAGCTTAAGAACTATCAAACTGCTTTAAAAGATCACAATTACACAACTGAAAGATCTCTTAGGGATGCTACTCAGTTAGATTTAGGAGATGCAATGTCCTCAGATCGTTTAAGTTTGCCGCTGCCAAGAACTGGAACCATCTTTCGAACGAGTTAAGAGAACTTGGTTCAATGTCTAGTTTTAAAACTGAGGGTTTGTAAGTATTTATTGGAATTGGACCAAAAGCAGCACGTCTGTACTGCTAAATATTATTTTTTTCTTTTTTTGGATTGTTATATATATTTTTAATTTTTGTGTTAGGCTACTTTTGAGTTTACAGATCTTTAGCGCATACATAACTCTTTTATATGTTTTTTGATTACTATTGCTGATCACCGGTTAATACCAGCGGGTCCTCTGTGCTCAGCTGATCGGTTTTCCATCAGGATAAATAAAGGTATTATTAATATTATCATTATTATTATAGGATTTCATCAACGGACAAAAACGTTGGTACTACATAGTACAAAAAAAATAGTACCATGTGAAAGGACTACCAAAGAAGTTTCATTTCAATGGCATTATGGTCACACCATAGGATTTCATCTATGGACAAACACAAGTAAACGCACTCCATAGAAGTAAAAGTACCATGTAAAAGTTTGATTTTCTTTTGAATAGTTACACGCTGGTATTTAATAAAACTTAAATTTACGTACCCAAACAAGAGTCCAGGAGTGAGGGAGATAAACACTGCTTAAATGAAATAAATTTATTCCTTTGTGATCAAGCTACTTCTTTCATTTTATCAACATGTTAGCTGTGTCATTACAGTAGCATTAACTAATTCAAGCATATCCTGCAGTTATTCTCCTAAAACAAATCAGCCATGCCTTCCTCTAAAAACCGCTTGTAAATACTCATGAATTTGGCCACAAATGCCTCCAGATGGTAGATGGCTTTGTTTCCCTGGTGAATGCGATGTTCATAGTGGGCCGCCATACTTGTTACTTCGGCTTTTAAACTGCCATCACAGTTGGCCACTAATTCAGATATCAAGCCCTTGAAAATAAAATATTTCGTCAAATTTCACTGTTGTTTAAGGAAGGTCCTACTTGCACTAACGGTGATTTACATGTAACTGGGACATTTGAGGTTTGTCCGATGCAGTCGAAAATTTTGGCGTTTTGAAAAGAAGATTGCATATGAAGTTTTAACTGAGGCAAAAACAGCCTTCCCAGCTGAACCACGTATAGTTGAACATGTAGCTGGAATCTTTCGAAAAGGTTGTAAGAAACCGTTTCACAGCAAGTGACAGTCAAATCTTTGCATTTTTGGTAGCCTGCCAGCCACCTCTCCAGGGAGCTCTGGTGGTGGGGCAGGAAAAGGAAGGATAGATTGCAACTACGTCTCTGGAATTTGAATATGTGCATCGAAAAAGTCGATGCAAAATGCTGATTGGTGGAGATGACATTAGTAATGACATCATTNGGTAGATGGCTTTGTTTCCCTGGTGAATGCGATGTTCATAGTGGGCCGCCATACTTGTTACTTCGGCTTTTAAACTGCCATCACAGTTGGCCACTAATTCAGATATCAAGCCCTTGAAAATAAAATATTTCGTCAAATTTCACTGTTGTTTAAGGAAGGTCCTACTTGCACTAACGGTGATTTACATGTAACTGGGACATTTGAGGTTTGTCCGATGCAGTCGAAAATTTTGGCGTTTTGAAAAGAAGATTGCATATGAAGTTTTAACTGAGGCAAAAACAGCCTTCCCAGCTGAACCACGTATAGTTGAACATGTAGCTGGAATCTTTCGAAAAGGTTGTAAGAAACCGTTTCACAGCAAGTGACAGTCAAATCTTTGCATTTTTGGTAGCCTGCCAGCCACCTCTCCAGGGAGCTCTGGTGGTGGGGCAGGAAAAGGAAGGATAGATTGCAACTACGTCTCTGGAATTTGAATATGTGCATCGAAAAAGTCGATGCAAAATGCTGATTGGTGGAGATGACATTAGTAATGACATCATTACCCTTGGCACATGCTTTCATGTGTTTTTCAAAGTTTGTTTACATTCGCACTCATTTCTGCTTCGCGCTGATTGGCTTATATCTGACACCTCAGTCGACAGGGAGGCACAAGGGAATTGGAGGCGAAATTCAAATTCCAGAGACGTAGTTGCAAGCTCTCCTCCCTTTTCCCACCCCGCTGCCAGAGCGCCCCGGAGAGCTTGCTCACAGACACAGGCTACATCTTGTGTTCTTTATGAGAGGTTTGATTGATTGGGAAACCTGCGCTTACCTTTAAAATGATATCAGGGGGAATGCAGTGGGTGAGCAGTTCATACAGTCTGCTTCTTATTTCCATCAACCTACATACATAAATACAACACAAAGCATGAAAACAAAAATAAGAAAATTTCAATTTAAAGGCTTTTTAAAACATTCATAATACTAGATCTAAATATTGTTGTACATGTATACTTGGCCAGTGCACTGTTACGTGATTCTCCTTAACCGGCGGTAGTAAGGTAGGATAATCGCAAACACAATCATAACAAATGTGCCCTAGACTCATGAATTGCTGCCTAGGCTGAAACTGACCCTAATTTCTGCTGTTAGCTGGTAATATGCTGCAAAAACAGGGTCATCCCCGGTGTAATATAATTAATTATTTTGTTGTCTTTATTTTATGGACTATTGTCACGGTTAGGTTCATTGTTAAGGATGTTTTGTTTTCTTTGTTTTACGTCAGCTGTGATGCTCTATTACACCAAAGATGAGCCCGAAAACAGACCTCTAATTCTCCTTAGGGTGATGAATAAATTAATAAGAGTCAACAGTACTTAAAACAACACATTGGTACAGTCTTCTCTCTCTCTCTCTCTCTTCTCTTTCTAAGACGGACACCATCAGGACCCACAGTGAGTGTCCATCTCACAGTGACAGAAAGTAAAATAAAAAGACTACAGAATTTTATTGAGGTGTCCATTTTATAGAAGTCAGGGCTTGAAATAAGGCCTGTCCAGTAGTCTGGGACTAGTAGAAATTCTTGCAGGGCAAGTACATGTAAAATTTATAGCCTGCAGTGCAGGCATTTCTTCAGGCAAGCAAACCTTTTTGCTTGCAAAATGCCATGTTGAAACTCCAAAAGAGAGGAGGAAATGGAGGAAGTCTTTTTTCCTAGCACCTACCATAAGGGTTGCTATTTCTAGTTTGTTTTTTTGTACTCTCCCCAATCTTACTCTGTCATAAAATTAAAGATGGCGGCTACAACAATAAAACAAGTGTTCGCCCGCCAAAATACACCTGCAGTGCAGGCTAAAAATTTCAATTTAAAAAGCTCACTTATCCAATAGGCAAGAATTCAGGTACAGCCTGTAAGTCATCCTTTAGTTACATGTAAACCATTGACTTAGACAAGCAAAAATGGACCCTGAGAGCTGCTTGCCCAAGGGACAAGCTGGAATTCAAGCTCTTTTTCCAGCCTTGAGAAGTACATTTTAAGAAAGAATTATCAACTAACCTTTTTGGTGTCTGTTGTTCCACAATCTGCTGAGCTGTTTCTTTCAAGTAGACTTCCCAATCTGCTTCTTGTACAACTTGATCTGGGGTGAAGGGATACCTAATTGGAAAAAAAAAAACAAAAAAAAAAAAAAAAAAAAAAAGAGCACTTAGTTACCATTAAAAAGAGGTCAGGTTTGAAATTTTGGAAATTTTACATGCCCAGTGGAATGGTACATTGTACATTCCGGTTGCACAGACCTGACCCAAGCCAACACATGTTTGATTGTTTTACTCTTAACCTGGATATGGGAGACCAATGTGGGCCCAACAATTTTGTTAAATGAAAAGAGACATTTCAGTCTGACTGGTAGGACCAGTCAATGCAGACCACCTTTGTCCCAAATAATTTGGTCAGACCAAACTGAAATGGTCTGTTCCATTTGATTTCCATTCAAAATTTTGGACTGAATGGAAAGTGTCCAACATTTTACAGGATGCATGTTGAAAGGTGAACAACCCTTCCCAGAAGGCTAATTTGGGTTTTATCTAGTACATACTGTTGAACTCTGCAAGCTTCACACATAAGCAAGGCCCTTCGAAGATTCCTGTTTGACTTCTCGGCAATTCTCTTGGATAGCTCTGGTGGGAGAGTCAGACCCTCTTTCTTACAGACATTATGCAAGATTTGACAGACCTGAAGAAGAGAGATAATGAGGTAAAGAAATGTTCCAAAGAATGTCACAACAAATTTCCTACAAATTCTTCACAACTTTAAGGGTTTAATAAAGTAGAGACAAACCAATCAAAATTTAAGATGTTTTGGTGGGGAGTTGTGCAATATGAAAGGACTGAGATTTTTAATAACAACTATTTTAATTTATAACATAACTCCAATCCACTTTGAATACATGTATTAATAAAATACATGTACATGGCATATAAGTTTTTTTCACAACAATATTAATTGGAATGTTCAATAGTATAATGAACGCTGTATAGGCAGTGAAACACAACTTTTGGACATCTCAAGTTTGAAGGACAGCATCCACTGTATAATTATTAGCAGTCCTTTATTATATTCAGTAAAATTCAGGGTTGTCAGGAAGTTTTGAAGTAGACGGCTGAGTTGTCAAAGTAAAGCGGCCAGTCCAGGGATATTTTATTTAAAAAACGCTATCCGTAAAGAAATGCCAAGCAGAGTAGCCGGCCGATACTAACCAAGTAGGCGGCAATTTCCGCCGGCAGCTGGCTACTTTTGACAACCCTGATTATTGAATTTTGGACTTACATGGCAGCGATATAAATAAATAAATAAATAAATAAATAAATAAATACAAATGTAGTGACATCTTAGGGAACGGCGCAAGATCTACACCATCTAACAACTGAAAGGTGTCAACTTTTGTGATTGGATCATAGGTATTGGCAGTCGGTGTTACATTGTATACCACTCAGTTTTGCAGGTCCTTTGTAATTCATGGAGAAAGGTCAGTGTTTTAAGTGAGGAATGTACAGACTGAATTAGTTACACAGTATATGTACAGCCTGTAACCAGGATTCTCACTCATTACCTCTTCTATTGTAGGTGCTGCAACTCTGACTCCCAGACAACGACTTCGAATTGCAGGAATTACTTTGCTTGTTGAGTTACAACACAAGATCAGTCGGCATGTTGCTGTGTACTTTTCCATGGTCCGCCGAAGTGCATGTTGAGCATCCTTTGTTAGTCTGTCCACTTCAGTCAAAACTACAACTGTGAAAAGCATTCAGCTTTAGGGATGTGCTTAAGTGACACCTTACCTCTTACACCGACCCCCTTTGCTAGCTGAATTGGTGTATGTGACATGTCAAGAACAAAGTGAAAAAGAGATGAATTACAAGATGAATTAATATTTGATGCAAATGTATATGACTTTTTTATAATAGAAGGGCCATATACTCTAACTCGTCAAAACACTGATCCCTGGCATGCGATCCCTACACATGGGTTGCCAAAGTGACGACTTTTCTGTTCTGTCATTTTTAGTTGCCAAAACTTTGTTCCACTTGCCATGGTGACCAAAATGGTTGCACCTTAGGAGCAATGGTTGAAGCTGTTTGCTGTTGTTTAACTCTTGATCTTGAAGGGAGTTCTTGTTCAAATGTGACCTGGGCAAATTCTGTAATATTATTAGTGTATGTAGATGTGTCTAGAGTCTTTTTTTGTTGTTTATTTGTTTCTTTTTAGTAATGTAGGCACATGTCCTGCAGGTGTACTGTAATGTGCGGAAGTATTGTAATAATAATAATAAAAGATAAATATAAATATAAAAGCTTTCTATAGCGGTGTCACCTCTCTAAGATGGATACTTGGTGCTAAGTCCTCAATGACATCTACGTTACTAAGAGAGAGCTGACTTTAAATGTACCTTTAAATTCTTTTTGAGTTGATGATTCAAGCTGGTGTGACTGTGCAACAGTCTTGATAAGTTCCTGGACAACAACACGATCATAAATCCCTGCATCACTGAAATACGAATTATTAGGGAGATTTAAGATGTGGTTGCACAAACTCTTGGCAAGCAATTTCCTTCAGTATTTCTATAATGGTGTGGATTTCAGGGTTCTTATTAGGTGCCAGCAACCTGCTACTTCTAGGTCTGAGCTGTCTACTTTTGGGGGAAAATACGTCAAGTGAGGGAGAGAAAGCTGGAAATTACCTACAGCACTTAATTACAGTACCAAGCCACCTACTTTTACATGCTAGCTCTCTACTTTAAAACTTAATGAGAACCCTGGGATTTACACACCAAGATAAAAGTGTCTTTTTCCAGTATATTTCCTGCAATACTCACCACCTGTAATAATTTGTCTATTACCTGTACCTCAGGATTTCATCACAATACCACCAATTCAGTTTTTTTAACATTGAACATACATGTTATATATCCAAGGGTGGAGCAGTGCTGAGTGCACTTGCCTCCTGCTAATGTGGCCAGGTTTGAAACCCCTACATTGATGCCATTTGTGGGTTAAGTTTGTTTTTGGTTCTCTTTTTTGCTCCATAGGGTTTTTCTTCAAATATTTTGGTTTTCCCCTCTCCGCAAAAACCAGCATTTTTTCCAAGTTCTAATTTGACCAGGAATGGTGAACAAAAAACCAGTACGTGGATGTGCTAACTCAAAACATTATTTATTCAAGGTTATGTCCCATAGTCAAATCTATCTCTGGAAAAACCAGTAAGGCAAGCATTTTTATTCTTTCTATCAGGTAAAAGGTCTTATCTCTTGGTAAAATATTTAGTGTAACCATGTAGTTTTAATAGATGTGTAAAAAGTACAGAAATTAAAAGGAAAGAAATAATGAAGAGAAACTCGTTTGGGCCAGTATCCTAACTGGAGGCTTTTCTAATTGATGGGCTGTAAAGCCAAGAAAATTGATTTTAGCAAGGTCTGATACAATGGCATTGAAAATTAACTTTAAGATAATTTTACCTTGGATTGACTTCTAAATGGTAAGCACTACCAATTGTTGACATTTCAATCTTCTTGTTTGAAGGTGTCTGGCAGAAAAAAAAAAGATTTTATATACATGAGTTTGAAGTCCATACTGTACGTTTACGAACTACAAACCTAGTTTTATCAGATAGACCCAGCGCTTGTGAGCCATCATTGCAACCCAAAAAGTGACATAATGTAGCTTACAGTGCAGCAAGGAAAATAAACTAACTTAGGCCCTGTTTGCACTACAACAAAAAAGAGAGTTGTGCATCTGCAAAAAAAATCTTGAAAATTTTGTACTCACCATTTTTTTTTTACAACCTTGTTTGCATCTGAGATGTGAGAAATTTTTTGTCTAACCAGAAATGTCAAGTAAAGGAACTTGGTCATGTACGCGAAATAAGATGACCTGACGAAGGATAGCTTTCAAGGAACAACAGAGTTTGTCGCCTGACAAAAAATGGTAGGCCTTCAAATCTTCTCAATGGCATCCTTGAACTTTGGTGACAGTTGGGAAAATTTTGGTCGGTGAACAAAATCATTCGCACTAGAAATGGCTTCCTGCTGACAGATTTTTTGGCAAAACAAACAAAATTTTGCCTAGTGCAAACAGGGCCTTAGTAAGATATTTATCATATGTACAGGCCCCAGTTGTTCAGACATTGGATAGCACTTTATCAGATAAATCAATATCCAGTGCATAATTACATTGTACATGTATTAGGGAAACCAATTGCACTATCCACTGGATAGTGATAGTGATTTATCCAGTGGATAGCCTTTCCACCTTTTGTACAACTGAGGCCAGGTGTTTAAAAATAGGTTTACATGAATATCGAGGCCTTGCTAGGGCAAATTCTGACAAGCGACATGACCCAAAAAGTAGCAACAGAGCATAAAATGAAATCACGACACAACTATGGTGTTCAATACGCGAAATGTTAACTGAGAAATTGAAGAACTGTAATGGTTTCTACCCCTCTTTTCTAAAATTCCGACAAAGACAAAGAATTTTTGTCCAATTTCCGACAGCAATGTGAAGCATTTATAACCACCGACACAGGACGTTTTGACATTCAGACAGGCGACATGGGACCCCCACTGGCAGGGCCTCAATATTGCTGTACTGAACACAGACAGACGAATTGGCAGATAAACAGAGGGCAGTCTGCCTGCAGTACTGAGTACAGCTGGTCAGAGCAACCATTCATAGAACATAGACTAACTAAATGTAAAAGATCAAACTATAGAACACACTACACGTACAGTGAAATTCTGTTGTTCAATTCTTAATTTCTCCACACCAGCACCATAAAGTTCCCTCAAAATGCACATTACTCTAGTTTTCTTTCCAGACCCTGAGGGGCCATAAACCAGCAAGTGTGGAAAATCACCACAATGTACCTTAAAAAGAACAAAAAAACAAGGATGAATTGTAAATCACAAATAGTTATCCGAGCGAACCTTGTAAGTTAGTTTGTAACTCGTAATAAGCTTAAAATGACTCGATCCATCATGGCGTTGGAGATCGTACGAAATGTTCGTAAACAGCTCCCTTACCAATTTCTTTAAATGAGTTGCGAGATCCTTATGGTAATCTAGCTTGGATAAAGAGGTAGGACGATATTTATCTACCCACAAACTCATGTTACTGCAAGGAAATCCTTCAAAACATCAAGAGAGTACAGAAACTATACAACACCAAACTTCTGCTTCTGAGTCAATTCTTCTCTTTGGCGCCAAATAAAAGCATGTGAGCCCGCAATGAAGGACATCCGCAGTAATCACTTCATATATGGTACATGAGATACATGCTCTGAAGGCGTGTCTTCTCTCCGGTAATAAATCCGTGCTCTCCTACACGAATATAAAAAATACGCCTAAAATATCTTCATGTAACATGTAACTATGTGTCACTCAACATAACTAGGCATCACTACCCATCACCAGCTATCACTGTCCATCACTACACATCACTACATATCACTACACATCACTACACATCACTACATATCACTACATATCACTACATATCACTACACATCACTACATATTACTACAGATTACTACTCATCACTACCCATCACTACACATCACTACCCATCACTATCCATCACTACCCATCACTACACATCACTACCCATCACTATCCATCACTACCCATCACTACACATCACTACCCATCACTATCCATCACTACACATCACTATCCATCACTACACATCACTACACATCACTACCCATCACTATCCATCACTACCCATCACTATCCATCACTACCCATCACTACCCATCACTACACATCACTATCCATCACTACACATCACTATCCATCACTACATATCACTACCCATCACTATCCATCATTACCCATCACTATCCATCACTACCCATCACTACCCATCACTACACATCACTATCCATCACTACACATCACCACCCATCACTATCCATCACTATCCATCACTATCCATCACTACACATCACTATCCATCACCACACATTACTGTCCATCACTTCACATCACTGTCCATTACTACACATCACTGTCCATCACTACACATCACTTTCCATCACTACACATCACCACCCATCACTATCCATCACTATCCATCAGTACCCATCACTACACATATCTACCCATCACTATCCATCACTACACATCACTACCCATCACTATTCATCACTACACATCACCACCCATCACTATCCATCACTATCCATCAGTACCCATCACTACACATATCTATTCATCACTATCCATCACTACACATCACTACCCATCACTACACATCACTATCCATCACTATCCATCACTACACATCACCACCCATCACTATCCATCACTATCCATCAGTACCCATCACTACACATAACTACCCATCACTATCCATCACTACCCATCACTACCCATCACTACACATCACTATCCATCACTATCCATCACTACACATCACTACCCATCACTATCCATCACTACCCATCACTACACATCACTACCCATCACTATCCATCACTACCCATCACTACCCATCACTACCCATCACTATCCATCACTACACATCACTATCCATCACTACCCATCACTACCCATCACTACCCATCACTACCCATCACTACCCATCACTATCCATCACTACCCATCACTACACATCACTATCCATCACTGCCCATCACTACACATCACTACCCATCACTATCCATCACTACCCATGACTACACATCATTATCCATCAATACCCATCACTACACATCACTACCCATAACTCTGCATCACTACA